CGATTGGAAATTTCTTCGGGCAGGCATGGATTCAAAGATGCTCATTTTAAGCTATTCTTTAATATGCTTGAAAAATTAATCAATCCAAGTGGTAGAAGTCTTTGTGGATCATACTATTTCACAACGACAAAAGGGTCTTACTTTCTTATGCTACTTCCTTGGATCATTCAGGTATCTCTAATCGAGCTATTGATACATTATCTAACATGCAGCTAAGTTCCACGTTGAGAGAAAATTTGAAGAATGTCATATCTTCGATTCATAGAGATTAATGTCACACAAGAACTTTAAAATATTAAATAAATGCGGTAATCGCAAATATTGACGATTATCATAATATCCATGGTTTGCGGATGCCAACAACTACCTCTATTAGTACCGTTGCCCATATGACTACCATACTCGCTATTCCTATACCCACAACAAATGCGATTCCAAAGAACATTAATATAGAATACTCTATACATAATCTATTACTTTGTTGATGACAATTCTTAGATCTTTTGAATAGAAAATTCATACATGGCAATTCTTTAACTTTGAAAATAACCCTGAAAATTGGCCTAAATACAAATCTTTTTGAGTTTTAATAATATCATTCCATTCATTTCCACAAAAGGCCCATGTTATACAACAAGTTCTCTAATAGGTTGTCTAGCAAATAAAATGACTCCCAATGTACCATCTCCCTCATTAGTCATTTTTATACCGATTCTTTTTCATCACAATCATTAATTCTTGATGGAGCACTAATTATCACATTAGCAGATTGTAATTTAATATCATCATCACCGAATGATCATTTCCTTCAAGTATGAATATGAACATGTTATAATTGGCAGGTATAGATTTTTCCAACATAAAATTTTGTTCTAGAATGGAGATATCTAAGCTTTTATGGGAGCACGTTCTTTGCAGTCCGTTGATATCACTTGATGTATCAGAAATTACTCGAATTTTTGATGCTGTTATTTCTTCTTCCTCAGTTCATGTTGCTTGTTTGTTTGAAATATTGATTTCTTAAGTTGGAATGACATTTCTTGTGAGATCTTGACAGGATGCTTCAATCAATTTTTGTTCTCAAGAAAGATTTAACAAGAATTGCATCAAATGAACATCTGTCTCTTTATCTGCTGAAACTTCTTTATGTAATAATCTGCGACCCGTATCATCCATTGTACTTCGCTAAAATTAATATTAAAAAACACAAAATTTGAGTCTGTTAAAATACTAAAGTGCAACAAGGAGAAAGTAGTCGTGCAACTTACTCTAATTTTGAGTCAACGATTTAGAAAAAATCATTCGCGTAAAATAAAAAAATTATCATCTATGTATTAAATTTTTAAATCAATAATGTAATACGAACTTTGTCCAATTATTCCAGAGTTGTTCTTAGAATCTTGATGTCGTAATAATCTATCAAACACAACTGTAACTGTCTAAATCATGAAAATTCGTTCATTCGCATCTATCATCTTCGTGTTAAATTATGCAAGTCTATTAGTTCTAAATCATGAAATTTAATAGAAGAAAACATTAACAATTGGTGAATACTTGTAGAATTTATTGGTATAATAAGGTAATCATAACTTAAAGAATGACAGATCTAAAATTGCTTAAGAATATAATGTTACTTCAAAAGAGAAATAATTTCATCTGCATTATGAAATTCTTTAACAATTCAAATATCCTTTTTAGTTAGTCATAAACCAACTATCAATTATATAAATTCCACCTAAAAAAAAAAGAATTAATTAAAAAAAACTATACCACCACATCTTTTTTCTTACTCTCGAATTATGATTTCTCGATAATCTTTAGTTTTTCAAGTTACAATCCTACAAATATATCACTATATTAGAATGTTAAAAGAATTATTTTAATATATGTAATCTATAAATGATTCTTTTTTTTGTTTTAGTCGCTGTTATTTTTACCAGTTTCTTTTTTCTTCATTAATCACACTCTTGATTCATTTCAATTTAAAAAATTTGTTGTCAAATTATTCCTCTGTCTGTTCTGTCAGCATTTTCATATGAAGATCGTGTTAATCAGTAAAGTGACTAATATCCCATTCTCAATAAACTTTTGAAGTTTGGTAAAACATATTGGAAGTTTTCAAGCCTAGTGATAGCATATTTGAACTTGAAGTGAGACATTAATTAACACAGGTCACATTTAAGATCAAAATTCAAATTATTAAATACAGAAAGGAATATAAAAAAATAATATCCATAGCCTTGATGATTGATGCAATGTTGTTGTCCAGTAAAATAATATTTATATCGATTGTTTTAATGGTTATTCGATCATGGCCATTCCACAAAATTGCTCGACATAAAAGTTTAGCTAACATATGTTAAGTTAATATTTAGTTAAAATTAAACTTATTAAAAAAAAATTTTAATCTACAATTTTTGTTCTAGCATTGTTCTAGAACAAATTATTCCCAATGGTATAGAAGTAATATTTACATTGGATAGTTCTTTATAGTTATCTTTAGAATCTAAATATTGACGAAGGTAAGTAATATTTCGTGAATTTTGTTGATAACTATTAGAACTTGTGAAAAGATTCAGGCAGATCATGTTAAAAAAATAATTATTTTGAATTAGATACTTTTTAGATACGAGAAGAGAATATTGTAGTGTTTGCTTTTTTTATAATAAAAAAAATGTTTAATTTTATTGCGTAATGATGTTAATATAATATCAGATAATTGATCAGGTGATCATCATATGATACATTCGGAAATCAGTTGATATTTATATTAAATTTAAATTAAAAAATATGTCAGTGCTGCTATAGTATAGCGGTATAAAGCACTTGACATTCTACTCTCGAATACTGGGTTCGAGTAAAGCTAATACCAAAAAAATAAAAATAATAAAAAAAAAAAAAAAATTTTTTTTCTTTAAAATTATATTTTAAAATATTACATAAAAATATGATTTTGTCCATTATTTTACATGTTCCAAAAAATTTTTCAAACTTCCATTTTACCTACGACAAACGACAACTAATATTGGTAGGATAAAAAAAAGATGTATTAGTAACGAAATGTTTCTCTTATGAAATGATTTTCTTAAGGAAATAAAAATGTTGAATTCAATAAAACTCTTTTGTAATAATCTACAAGGCACTATTATGGAATATGTAATAATTGAGAAAAAAACCTAATTGCAATAGGTAGGTTATCTTTACAAAGAACTATTTCAAGAACTAATATTTTTCTAACTTTATTTTGATTTTTAGAAAGAAGGAATGATGGAGTTTGAAGGAATAGGTCTCCGTCATCTTAAGGAAACTTTTTCCGTAGTGCAAGAAAACAAATCATAAATTACACATCTTACAAGCCACCAACTACATCGACAAACAGGATAAGATCTCTAAGCTTAGAGTTTCAATCTGTATTTGAGTCAACTAGCGATGACGTACCTACTAACAAACGGAAGCGTGGAGATTATGAAGATTTTAATTTAAGATTTTTGAAAGATATCAAATCTGGAGATGAAGATAAGCGAAGAGAAAGAAGAGCTGATGACGAAGAATCCGAAATTACTATCAACGAAAATTTTCATCTTTTGAAGAAGTAGATCAACCCAGTAATTCAAAATGGAAGTTGTAAAAGCGGAGAATTCATCAGAAATGTCCTCTCACAATCAACATTAAAAAATTCTATAAATAATGGCTGACCGCTTATACAGTGAGTGTTATTATGTATATTTTTACGCGTTTAATTATCACAAATATAACGAAGAGATCTATAGAGTAGGCTTGGATTGTCTTCCATCGTAGATTTGTCATCCGAATTTCTAGGTGATATGTACATCTGGTTCAGAGAAGAATGGTCTAGCCTGTAACACAAAGTAACAAAGCCGAAGCAATGCTATCAATAAAATTCGAAGCCGTATTCTTGAAGGTATTGGGAAGGTTGTGGATATAAGAAAACAGACAGTTGATTGTAATTTATTACATTCTCAGAAGATTTAAAATACGGACGAATATCTTTAGCGAAGATAAATATAAAACCTGATTAATGGTAAATCATCATCTGACCAATTTATGAGATTTTGGATGAGCGTAGGCCTTTTTCAAGCTCCCGTTTAATACATGCTTCCAAGGCTTCAACTGTTTTCATCTCTAATAAGTGAAATCAAGGATTTTTCAGGAAGTGAAGCAATATCAAGCAATTTAAATATTTATTCAGGATTTAGTAGGAATTCTATTTGTATTTTTATATAGACCGTCAGAGTGTGGTTATATGCAGATTTGAATATGAAATTAATTCGAATCAACCGGGTCAGATCGAATTTCGGGTTACGATCCTTTCAAACAATTTATAGTGTTTTGAATCTTTTTGTTACAATACAATATTCCGTACGATCTTCAAATCAATGATTTCATGGATATCAAAATAGCATGTTTCCATTTGAATAAGGTGCAATTGAATTTTGAAGTGATTGTTTCATGATGCAATTTTTTTTTATTGGGTTTTATAGAGGACTTTTTAATGACTATAGCCTTATTCACACTATATCCAGATTCACATGGTGGCTGAAGGAAGAGGGCCCAAATTTTCTATACTATATTTACTTATTACGGTATATCTAGTACTATATATTACGAAGGAAATTTATTTTTACACGGACAAAATTATCGAAAACAAAACTTTATTTCGAAATTTTATATCAACATAAATTGAAGCTAATTAAGATAATCATTTAGCATAATAAAAGAATGCCGAAAAGCTGGTGGCACGTTGCTTAACTTTATGCTTTATGCTTTACGCATAAGCTTTGTGCTAGCAATCAGCTACATTGTCAGTGGTTTAATAAAATAATTCAAATACGATTCGATGCCGCACCCCGACACTATATTTATTATACTTGATTTTTCTGAAAAAATAAATGATGTTTTGGAATATGATATGAAAATTAGTAACCAATTGATAGTATTGGTAATTATTTTGAAATTCTAAATTTATTAATATTTGAAAAATTGATTATTCAATTCTAAATGATAAATTTTTAATCAATATAAGCTTAAATATTACAAATAATGAATAATAAAGTAAGTAATTTGAATTATGAATAAGCTTCTATATTTTTATTTAATTTATTCTTATAATAGACAAAGCTTTAATATATTCATAATATTGCATTATATTACTTCTACTTTTCACAATTACAATCTATCGAAATATTCAGTTATCAACACTTACTGATGTAATTAATATTCCGCAATAAATTATTTACAATTCTTTTTATTGTGCTATTAATGCCGTGACATTGAATTATTGATATTAACTTCACGGGTTATCAGAGATTACTTCACAGTTCACGATATAATTATTCGGCCCCCTGATTATTATAAAAATATTGTTTCTTTCTTCTTTCTCGTTTATCTCATTATTTCACAAATGTTGATAATCGTGTAATCACATACGCGAAGATCAGATCTTCTTTCACACGTGAATAATTGCCACGCATGATTATCGCACAAATATCGCCAAAAAATTATCATCGATATTTGCGACTATCCTTCTCATAAAATGAAAACCTAAAAAAAAGATATAAAAAAAAAAATAATGTCAAAAGTTCGCGTTCTTCTAGCTTATTCTGGTGGTTTGGATACTTCTTACATTCTCATTTGGCTCATTGAACAAGGATATGATGTCCTTGCTCATATGGCCGATGTTGGTCAATAAGAAGATTTTGAAGAAGCTAAGGGAAAAAGCTTTAAAGATTGGTTCCAAGAAAGTTTTTATTGAGGTATGATCATAATAAATAAAATAATATTTCGAAGAATTGAATTTTTTGTGAATTATATTGTAACGATATTTTAGTTAGGACTTAAGACGCTCTTATGTCAATGAACTCATTTTCTCTTTCTTGATATCAAAAGAAAAAAAAACTAAATGAAATTAAAATTTTTTTTTGATTAACCTATAAAAGAATTTTATACCCGTTACCATGGTCGACAAAGTCTTTTAGATTATTCGGCTCAAAAGAACGTACCAGTTGTTCAAACTAAATCAAAACCATGGTCAACAGATGAAAATTTTTAAGTTCTTAATAATAATTTTATCTCTTTCGTATTTCTGATTCGAATTTTTTTGATCTTTTATTTATATCCTATGAAGCTGGTATCTTAGAAGATCCTAATGTAACACCACAAAAGGCATGTGAAAATTAACCGTAGACCCGGAAGAAGCACCAAACACACCTGAACGTATTACATTCAAACATGGTATACTTACCAAGGTCGTAAATCACCACGATAACCGAATCTCTCGATCTTTTTATATGGTCGCACGAAGAAACGGTATTGGCTGTTGAAAATAGATTTATTGGCATCAAGAGTCGAGGTTTTTATGAAACACCCGGAGGTACCATTATTCGAACAGCCCATGTCGATTTGGAAGGATTTGTCCTTGATGTCAAGTACGTGCGTTTGAGAGATCAATTTGTTACGCAGTTCTCGCAAATTTATAATAATGGGTAGTACTTTTCACCTGAACGGGAATTCTTGTCTGCTTCATTTACAAGTAGTCAAAATCTGTTAATAAGGAAATTAAATTGAAGCTTTACAAGGTAATGTGATCATTGAGGGTCGTAAATCCGATACCGATAAATTATACGACATGGAAGAAAGTTCTATGAATGTTCAAGGTGATTCAGTCCGGTTGATTCCGAAGGGTTCATTAAGAATGTAAACTTAATAATAGATTTATTTAGTCTATTTCTTTCTTTCTATTGTTTTTTGAGATAAAAAATATACTAATGAGAGTGATATATTTGAAAATCTTATAGGTATGCCGCAACAAACAATTAATTTACTTGAGGAACAAAAATAATCAAGAAATATTCTTTGGGCTCAAGGAGTCAAGCGAAACTTTAATCAAAATAAGACCAAGGTTGATGAAATACATAGATATAAACGCCGAAAATCAATGCCACGTACTTGGAAGGATCATTCTCATAATATTCGTTATTTGAGATAATGTAAGTAATTTAATTTATTAAAATAATACTTTCCTTTACAATAATTGCTAGCATTAATAACTAAAAGGAATGCATTTCTTTTTTTTTTCGATTTTTGAACATTACTTGAATGAAATGAGTGGTAAGTTTCTTTGTATGAGTGCGTGGCGTGTAATGGCATTTATAAAATAATTAATGTCATTTTTTCTTTGATATTTAGATGGTGATGTAGTATATAATGGCGAATGTCATTTCTTATAACTAGGTTATCTGCTATTGGGAATATATAGATTATTATACTGATAAAAAAAATAAAGAATGCAAAAACGATAAAATTGTAATACGCGATTAGGACATAACTTGTTTAAAATTAAATGTAGAATATAATATAACAATTAAGATATAGTTATAAAAAAAAAGGCCGGCAGATGCTTATAAATACGAAACACAGCAGGTGTGACACCGGTGACAAATATTTTATGATCACGTGACAGTAAACAGCGTAACCACAAAAAAAACTTTCACATGACTTTTTGGCCGGAATTATGAAATTAACAGTGGTTTTGGGATGAATATTTTTACTATGTTACCGAGACAGTGATTTTTTGGGGGAAATCCTACAGAATTTCTCGCATTATGCAACTACATGTCATGTGATAATCTCAGATTTACCGGTGACAAATAATGGCGTGACAAATAGTATTCACTACCGAAAAAAAATTATTAAAAATGAAAATTTGAGGGGTGTGACGGGAGAGACGCAGGATGACAAATATTTTTATTATGATCACGTGAAAGTAAAATTCGATGGGAAGATCGCAGGGGAAGATAGTATTATATTCTCACTATGACGTAATCATAGATTGTTTATGTGATTATATAAACTCACCAATTTCCACTACACTTCATGATGCAAAAAATTTTTTCTTAATTCTACGTTTTTTTCAAGTCAAGCTTTTTTATTCCTTAACCTATAGAATTTTCTCGTCTTTTATTTTTCTATAGAAAAATATTGAACTTTACTTTTTTATTTATTTCTTTCGTTGACGTACTCTAATACCAGGTAAGACTGAGTAGAAGACTGTTTGGGACTACTGATACTGTAGAAGGGATCGGTTATGTATTGAATAGTCGAAGCAAAACTAGTTATCAGTATTTGTCGTATGTTTGTCGTTTTACGAAATGATGAGATGTTACTGATTTTTACTGAGGCCTGCCTCAACAGAAGTGCAGGACAACTCGTTTGCGTGGATTACTGATCTTGTTCTTTATGAAGGGTGATCGTTTTAGTACGGCTTGGTTGAGGAATTGGCATATGACTATATTTTTTGTTTCTGTTTACTCACAATCGTTTAATTATTAATCCCTTTTCAATAGAGCTAATGATGGAAAAGCCAAAAATATGAGCTAGCTAACCTTGTGTTGGCCCCCCGTTATTTGGAAACGATCGGTAAATTTGATCGCGTGCCTGTGATTTTTAGGTGGTGGACGTTACAAATTCATACTATAACGACGAAATTGTTTGCGGAATATAGTGGAGGCAATTTTAATAAGTTATTCTCGTTTCCCCCAATATTACTTTAACGATGCGATGTTATGAAATGTATTCGTATTATCGATCCCATAGAAGTGGTCGTGATCCTTGGGAGAAATCCGTCCGTTTTATCGATCCATTGAAGTGGTTGCGATTACTGGAAGAAATTATAGTGCTATCGATCATTGGAAGAAATCCATCCGTTTTGCGATCCCGCTGAAGCGGTCGTGATCCGTACAAAGTGGAATGGGTTTGGCTAGACCAGCGAATCTTTCTCATTAGTAAATGTATAAAAGATGTTTTATCCTCGAATATTTTTTTTTTAGTTTTTAATTTTTATTATATTTTTTTATCCCCCGATCTTTTTATTTAATTTATTGATTTTTTGATTTTTTTTTATCCCCTCCGATCTTTTTAGTTTTATTTTTTAATTTTTTTTAATTTTTTTTTTATCCCCTCCGATAAAATAATTTTATTAGAAATATTAAAATAACAATATTTTTTTATAATTTATTCAAAGTATTTGATATAAATCTTACTTTAGTTATAATAATAATAAAAAATTATATCTTTTTAATTTTAAAATTTTTTAATTTTTTTTATTATATTTTTTTATCCCTTCCGATCTTTTTAAAAATTAAAATTTAAATCAATAAAATTAACCTTTAACTTATAATTGAATTATTTTTCGTAATTCTTAGCAGTTCAGAAATAATGACCATGATTGCCAATTAGTGTTCCGAAAGGGTCGGGTCAAACCCGGGTCATTTGACCTGACTCGTGTTTAAAATCCGAATCGAGTTTATCATTATTTGGCACGAGTCCTATATTCAACCCGACCCGTCGGGTTAGGGTCATACCTTTGCTTGACCCGGGTTGATCCCGGGTTGACCCGGGTTTAATCAATATTTTGATATATGTTACGTGATTTTTAATTTCTAACTTTATTTGTGATTTGTGTATGAAAATGAGCAAGGCTGAGAAAACAACTCTTGGAAAGCGCCCTTCTCTAAGAAGTGAACTTTTTACTAGAGAACTTTTTGAAGAAAAA